CGTCTACCATTCCTGAGTGTTTCGTCGGCCCGTTCCCACTTCTCAATGTCGTCGCCGTGCTAGGCGCTCGCTGCCCTAGCTGCTGCCTCTCTGGGGGTGGTGTTGGTGGTGGGTGTTGCCCTGTCAGTGTCAACCAGAAACGCGTTCTCGATTCCCGATCTGCTGGACAGGCCTCTGTGCGTTGTTGCACGTGCACGCCGAACCCTGAAGTGCTCTGTTACAGCACAATTAACCAGCTTCGAACAGATCTTTTTACTACCTTGGAACGTGGATTAAGATGTCGTTGAATAAATCGCGATTTCCAATTATGACTAACACTGTTAGGGCCGCCAGATATCTTGCTAATAAGGCGGGCTAGTTCTTGCACCGTAGACAAGGTCGGAGGGTGTCTTGTTGCCTCAAGATCAAGAATCCATCTCTTTAATAGCATCTCTTGTGTATTCGACAGTAATTGTTGCGACTCATGTGATAAAGGTCTCGATTGAGTGATGCCTTTGAGTCTACGGCTCAAGGTGGAATAGTCAACATCGTTCGCCGCGGCGGCAGACCGAATAGAGGGATATCGACGTGATTGATAGTCGTCGATGGCCGTTAGCACTCTAGCTTCTCAATTAGCGTCCATTTGATCAATTCAGCGAGGTGGTGTTGGGTGGTGGACTTCATTATAGGGATCCTAATACTTCTTTTGTCTCTGCAGAATCCTAATACTTCTTTTGTCTCCTGCAGAATCCCTTGATACGCGTGGGGCAACGCAAATGTCACAAATAGGTGGTAGTGTTCAATTCAAGATATAGGAATAGAAAGGCCCTCACTGTACTTTGAGAGGGGCTATCTGGCTTGAAAAATCGTTTTTGGCTCTCGAGTCTGTGTATCAAACGATCTACCGAGCGCGCTCAACAACCGACGCCGACGGTCGGTCAGCCTTCGTCTCCGTGGTTATCCCTGACAGCGTCATCCGCATCGCTGTCCTCGTCCTCGACACCAACGTCCACGTCGTCGTCCAATAACAGAGCATTCTCAATCTTCTTGCCCCCTTCCTCTACCGCTCCAACGCCCTCAACCGGCGCCTTCGTCTTGGTCGCCTCGATGCCGCCGGACGTAACGAACAGGAACGTCTCAGTGGGGAAGTTGTCGACGTGGTTGAAGAAGTTACCAAAGACATTCTCCTTCTCCTCGTCCCGGTACATGCGCTCGTAGATCTGCTCTTGCTTGAACTTGTCCATCGCGTCCTTATACTTGTCAAAGTCGATGGTTTCTTTGCCGAGTGCGTCTTTGGCGCGCTTGTTGTACGATTCAAATACTGGGCGTTCGAGCAGGAGACCCAGACTAGGAGCTTTAGGGATGGACAGTCTTTCAGGGCCCATGCTGTCGATCAATCGTTTGGGGTCACAGCCGCAACGCACCACGAGCGCGACCATGCCGACCATTTTGCGGATTTGATGCATCATGAAACTCTGTCCGTGGACTTTCATGCTCAACCATTCTGTCCCATTGATAATGATCGGTTTCCTGTTGACAAGGAAGGATTTAATTACACGTTTTGCGCTGGGGTCCTTGAAGGTCTTCTCGATGGTGTAGTTGTGGTAGTTGCGAGTGCCGACAAATAGGTCGAGAGACTCTTGGATCCGGTCGAGACGCTCAGTGGGGATGCGGTAGGCTCGTTTGGCAGCAATGTAGGCTTGCCGGATGCGTTTCATAGCTTCGTCGAGGACGCGGGATCGGAATGGCTTGGACTGATCTGTTGAGTCTCCTTCAGAGGAGATGGGTTCTCCATTGTTATGTGCAAGATCCTGGTCCTGTGAATCTCCGTCTTTGGTTTCCACCTCTTGTGGAGGCCCTGGTTCTGAAGTCTGGTGTTCGACCTCCTTTTCCATAGTAGGAAAACTCGACGGTTGCATCTCACCGTCCTCTCTATTCTTCGGACCTTGCGCTTTTAGCCACAGCGCCTTCTCCAGTATAGCACGGATCTCTTGGTCATATTCTGCCAGGATCGGTTTGATCATGTCCTCGTCTACCTTTTCCCAGTATCCCAGCACTTCTTCTTGCCTCTTTCTGTACCCTTGCAGATCGTCCTTTTTCTCCGCCCACTTCTCGCTGTTCCTTCCGAGAAAGCTGCTAGGGTGCGGCGGGAGGAAACTGTGTGTCGGGATCAGATACTCATATATCCGCGAGTCGACCATCTGATAGGCACTGAAACTGTTGTTTGTCCGCTCATAGCCCCAAACCCGAATCTGGGGTGTCAAGTTGTCGTTGATCTTCTGCACAATATCTTCATCTTCGATGATCAATTTCAGGGATATGACATTGCCGGCAGCATGGACGCCCTTGTCAGTGCGGGCGCATCGCACAAAAGAAGATTTCTTTGGGTCATCAGCATTGGCTTTGGAGATGGCGCCTGCCGCAACAAAGGCTTGGAAGAGGTCTCCTTCGATTGTTTTCTGATCATGCGTTCTGGATGCCATGGAGGTCAGTCTCTCCACGGCGAGAGTAACGGCGGCTCGGGTATTCTTACAGCTGCATGCCCTTGTAACCGGTTCCAGCATATCCAATAAGGACGGCAACCTTCTTTTTCGGTCTCCTCTCCTCAGCTGCAAGCACTTCGTCGCTGAATTTTGTAGCGTAAATGGGCAGTTCGTCCTTGCCTTGGTCGACCCGTCGTCGTTTGGCGGCTTGTTCATCCTCGTTCCGTTTCCTTTTGTCTACTTTGTTCTTACTTAGCAAGTCAGTCTTGGCGATCGAGATATAGTGTGAGATGGCTTCCGATGCAATCCTGGCAGGGCCTAGAAGGACCTCTTCTGTGGCAACATTTGGGGGAAAAGAGACAGACTTACGCCCACTCCTTCCTCCCCATATTTCTCTTCTTGCCCTGATGACCTCCTCGACCACGTCTGGCTTCTCTCCCCAAAGCAGCATTCTGGTTCGAACGTCTTGCATCTTGATCACGGTGTCTTTGTTCACGAACTTGCGCTGCTCCACCTTTTGAATCAGTTGGGGGCCTCGACTCGCAGTCGATGTTGGAGGTTGAGAGAGCCTCGGGCGCACCTGGCGCAGGGGCCTTCGGAATGCCAGTCTCCATGTTGGCGACTTGTAAAACATGAAAACGAGAGGCGAGGCTTCACACTGATCAGGATGCAACTTTTTGAAATTTTGTCGACGTGATCTCCAAATCCCCCCCGATTTGCGTTTCCCCGCAAAATGCGGTTCGGTGATTCGCCGTGGGATTCTAGTACGGTGAAGTATAGGATGGTCGGATGCAGTCATGAAAGGAGCCTCAAGCATATCTCGTCGGCACTCGCGAGTATCCCTGTACACGAAGTAGTTCATCTTGGTTATACTATAGATCTGCTGTGGACGGCCTATGTCACCCCTGTTGTCCAGTCCGATGGTGATCTACTCCATCATCAGCTCTAGTAAGGCGCTCCATTAGTGGTTGCTCCTGACATGGGCTTGACTTCCACCTCAACTGGCTGGTCACCTATCCCTCTCCTTTTCGCCTCTTCCAGAATCGCAACCGTGGCGGTGGCTCCTATTCTCGTAACACCTATGGACCGGACATAGAGCAGGTCATCCAACGTCCGCACTCCACCCGCGGCTTTGATCTGAACTTTGGGATCAGAGTTCTGTCTCATGAGCTTCAAATGAGGCACCGTGGCGCCCTTGTACGTGTACATGCCATTGGGCTGTTTAACGAATCCATAACCAGTCGATGTCTTGACGAAGGCAACATCGCATTCGGAACAAATCTCACAGAGCTTGATGATGTGCCTATCTTCTAGGAAATCGTTCTCGAAGATGACTTTCAGTATCGCCCCTGACTTCCGCACTGCCGAATTGACTGCTGCGATTTCGGTGGTTATGTAGTACCAGTCACCGGAGAGGACTTTGCCGATATTGACCACCATATCGATCTCTGCGCCACCTGCTTCGGCGGCTTTCTGTGCTTCAAAGACCTTCACTTCAATAGTGCTATTGCCCGCAGGGAAGCCAATGACAGGACAGACCGCAACACCTGACCCCTCGAGGGCTTTCTTTGCTTGGGCGATCGCGTATGGCTTGACGCAAGCCGTAGCTGTCTGGTACTTTTTTGCAATTTCCAAACCGGCCTGGATTTCCTGATCCGTCATGGTTGGGTGTAATAGAGAGTGATCGATCATTTTGGCCAACTGCGACAAGGTCACTTTGATCGTTGTCGGTTCGGACATGACGATTGGTGCTGCTTTGTGTAGTTTTGCCTCCCGTGCGGCTCCTCGTGTTCGATCCTAGGGAAGCCCGGGTAAGTACGCAGAAGGGGTAGGATGAATGGATGTATGAGTATCAGAAGATAACGGTCAAAGCCACTTCGCTGCTCTCTGGTTCTGAACCCAAGACTGATTCGTTTGCTCGTGTCGACCAAATCCCAGGTGGTACTTTATAGTTGGAAGTGGTGTCAATGGGGAGGCTTCCGCATCTGGAGAACCCGCCCCAGTTGGGGGATGTACGGACCGGCTACCCATTCAGAAATAGCCCCATGCCGGGCCATCACCAGGTAGACTACATTGTGTCCCTCGTAATCTGTGAGTGCCCTGAAACAATATTACAATTCAACGCAAGGTGCAAGGAAACCCTCCCCCCGGGAATTTGGCAGCCAGTGCCGTCGCTTTTAAGAGGCGGATTTCCCTCGACGCTAAGAACGCTAACCCGATCCCTTCCCCATCCTATATTTGACTTCCTACCTATGCGATGATGAAACTAGAAATAGTTCCCTTTACAAATAACAAGGGAATTGTTATTCCTAGCCGTTTTTCTACCATGCCACTGAGGCTAAACTCATGGAGACACCATCGAGCACATAGCAGGCAGAGGGAGACCAGGGGTAAACGCAGGACCTCAGAGGCGAAAGCAGGTGATGGAACCTGTCCATCACTTGCCCCATTGAAACCTCCTCAAAAGTCAAGGGGGGCATACAGTTCTATTTTTCACACCCCCCGCCTAATTACACAATGGTGAAGTTTTGCCAGCACCTAAATAGCTTTCCAGGCTTTCTTGATATACTCCTCGACATCTGAGAGCAGCTCTCTGGGTTTCTCCATAGCCTATACAGCGTCAGGAAAGGCTAACATACGACCCAAGCGATTTCACTGACCGCGAAATGACCACCCCTCTCGTGCTGATTGAATGACACAAGGTTGCAAGTCATGGCCGCCCATCTCTTAGGAACTGGGATGATCTCATGAGCAAACATTGAGTAGCCGCAAGGTTTCTCGACATATGGAAGGTTTAGCGCTGTCCGTTTCGTGATCTGAAACACGGTCAATCATCAGTTCGTCTGCAATGAATCAAAATCCTAGCCAACACTTACCACACTAATCCTTGCAATCGTTGGCTTATCATCTCCCTTGGCCAGCTGCAAGTCGTAGCGTTAGTCATTTGTCTACCATGACAGAAAGGAGTGATCTAACTTACCGCGCGATTATGGTAGAAACATCGTGGTATAGTGTCCGTCAACCAATATAATGTTACACCTTCGAGGATCTTGTCAAGCGGAGGATCTTCGTCTGTCCATTCGAGAATTTTCTCTCCAATCCGGCTTTATCGTTAGCAAGCTTGCACGAGACATATACTTTTGTATCTTATATCTCACCAACTGAGCAGTGCCAGTGGGCTAGCACTCAGGGTAAGCCCGATGGTGGCCGGCCTTGTGCCTTGCTCAAGTGCAAATGCATATGCCGTATCAATGAATTCGGCGGCCCTTTGTAATGCTCTCTTCTCTTCCTCGTCTCTTGGAATTTCGTCCGAGTTCTCCAGTGGCGGCATACCCATCATATTCACGTGCATTCCTTTGCACGCATCGTAGTTCATGGCAACCAACCGACTCATGAAACTGCCAAGGTCGCCGCCGTGCGCCAAGTATCCCGAGCCGAATCCTAGACCGACCATCAGATCATTGAGTGCTCCAGCAGCGATGTCGATTCCGTAATCCGTCTCAACCGGAGGACCAGATGAAAAGGCATAGCCTGGAAGCGAGGGGACGATGACGTGGTATGGCAAGTCCTTCGGAGAATATCGCTCTTTCAATATGTCCAGCATATCTAGGAATTCACAGATGGAGCCTGGCCAGCCGTGAAAGAAAGCAATTGGAATGGCATCGACCTTCTCGGAAAACAGAGCTAGAAAATGCATTTGGATTGTGTTGCCCTCTGTATCCTTGACCGAAGCTTTGAAGTTAGGAAAAGAGTTGATTCGATCTTCGTGCTTCCGCCAATCGAATTCATTGAGCCACACCTTCTTAGCATTTTCAAGCCAACCCCTCTTCGTGCCATACTTCCGGCCAGCATTGGTATTCTCAAACACTGCAGGAGCAATTGGCGACAGCTCCAGCAAATGCTTGAAATGTTGCAACTTTTCATCGTCAACGTGTGCCTTGAACCGCTTGATATCGAGTGTTGCACCGGCTGGGAGTTTTGCGTAATCGGCCATGTTGAGCCCGCTCTTAGAATTTGAGCGCGGAAGAAATGGAACCAATAGTTGAGAGCATGGAAGGCTGTCGAATAGACGGGTATATCAAGAGCCATCGCCTCGTTGTTTTGAACCCCACGAGGGAGCTAGAACCATCTGGAATGATCTTTGCTAAAGGTATATGAAAGGATTGGCGCTCGGTTATCCTAAGTCCCCAAATTGTACAAACAAAAATTATGCACGTACACAAGACACTTCGCGCAGCAATCATCAGGACGATCAATCCGTTGTTGCTTTGGCGGGCCTGCTCCATGGCTATACTGACGGATAAAGGCTTCAGCATCTTGTCCGATAGCTTAGTGTTCCAAGATACAAACCGAAGAAATCAATTTCGGGAACTGCGCCCGGATGAAGCCCTGGTCAACATGAAATCGTAGTGGGTGCGATTTGTTTTGCACAGTAACACTAATCGTGACGATGGATATGAGACGTGTAAGGCCGGAATTGCATATATTAGTCTGAGAGAAGCATCTGAATAGAAATCTGTGCGCATGCTAACCAGCTCTCCGATGACTGCTAATCCCCCAAACTCGACACGATTCGTCGACGACGGCCATATTCGGCAGGTATTCATTGCCCTCTCAGACATCAGCCTGCCGATGCTTTTGGTTTAGCCATTTTTATGCAAAGCTACTCTGTTGAGATAGTGGGAGAGCAAAGATGAAGCTCGCTGGCAACGACTAAAAGTTGATTAATTCATGCAGCTTTCCGAAATGCGAACCGCTGGGGCTGGCACGCCCTGCAATGTACAGCAGTGGGCGTAAGTCCACGGAGAAAGGTGGAGAGGTGACGGTCCTGTGTTCGCTCGAAATAGCCAGAAAGGGCATGGCATCGAGGGCAGGTATTGCCCTCTTGGGAAGTAACCTGTCGCCGCTACAAGAGTGGTGACGTGCGTATCACCGTCGGCTGCAAGAAAATCCAAAGTTGAGCAAGAAGAAACCCAAAAACCGCAGCGTCCAGCGAGTACTTTCGCGGCAAAAGACGATCAAAAGACACTTCATTTTCACATTGGCAGGTTGCCCTCGCTTGCCGCTCCTCTTGATCACCTATCATCATTTCGACCAGACCAACAGTGACACTCGAGAGGAAATAGTGGTGACCACCATCTGACGGACATATCAGGCAGGCCGCGCCCATTTCCGCACCTTTTTCTTTCTTGCAATCTCCATTGTGGATTGGCAATCTCGCCCAACTTTTAAGGTGACGAACAAGAACTCGAGTCTTTTCGGAGACCCCTAGATCAAAAGAAACCAGGATCAATTAGATACCATCTCAAAATGACTTACACAGTCTCAGAGATCACAGATCTGCGCATCTATCCTATCAAGTCATGCCGAGGCATATCCCTGAAGTCGGCAAGATTGACGAGACAGGGACTGGGGCTGGACAGACGGTGGATGGTAAGTCTTTGCATTTTGTGGCCAGAATCTCACCCTTTCACCTGACCGGTGAATCGCTTGATGGCTGACGATGCATGGCGGACGGGTCTAGTTCATTGACAGTAGTAATAAATTCATCACCATCCGCTCAAAACCGCAAATGACATTGATCAACACCGCCATTGATTACGACTCTGACAGCCTTGTCATAACCATAGGCCATGACACGGACAAGCAGGTCAAGGTGCCTGTTCATCCTAGTCAGGAGTGGCTCCGTGAAAACACCAGAGAAGTCTCAGTCGATATTTGGGAGTATATCACCGATGCCTATGCTTACACAGATCCAACGATGCTGGCTCTTTTCAAAGAGTTTTTTGGTGAAGAGGTCCGTCTGGTGATGAAGGGTCCCGAGCCAAGGATATGCGCCGGCAATGGCTCCCCTAAACGACTGGGACGTACGGAAAGCGTCAATTTCCCGGACGTACTGCCCATTCAGATTGCCTCGGAGTCGTCGCTTGCCGAGCTGAACTCGAGATTGAAGGAGAAAGGCGAGAGCGAAATTACCATCGAACGTTTCCGACCAAATATCATAATCAAAGGAGGAGAACCATGGTCTGAAGATTCGTGGAAGAAAGTGCGTATTAACGGAGACTCTTCATACTGGACTACACTCACGGGCGGCAACTTGCATGCAATTGATGTCGATGTGGTTGCAAGGTGTGCTCGGTGCACAGTACCCAACGTCGATCCCGACACCGCGGAGAAGGATGCCCACCAGCCTTGGGATGTGTTGGTCAGTTACCGCAGGGTTGATGAAGGCATCAAGTATAAACCTTGTTTTGGAATGCTCTGTTGCCCAAGAAATGAAGGAAATGTCCAAGTAGGGATGCGATTCGAGGTCATGGAAGTTACCGATGCGCACAGATATGTCAAAGGGTTTTAGGTCGTTCGGACTGCAAGATGCGCGGGTCAGTTTTCTAGGGCTGGGATGATGATGAGGTCTTTGATTTCCTCCAGAATTTGTATTGCTCCATAGTTGCTTTGGTCTGATGCTATCCTGCTCGCCTGATGGCATCTCTGTGAGTGTCGTGCACAATGCGGGACCATGCAGCAAGAGAACGACATTGAACTCTCTTCAGGCGGTAGGCTCATTGCCTCCTCCAAAATTTCGGGTACCGACCAGTCAAAGCCTGGTCAAGCCAATTACCTTGAAGGACCAGCTCTCTGGTCCAGCCGAGCAGCTTGCTGCTGTTCCGAAGAGCAAACAACTCGCTCAAGTTGTTATGCAGGGAGCGTTAACGGGTCTCGTATCTAGTAGCGTTTTCGCGTTTCTAGAATTTAACATGCCAGGCCGTTCTTGATACAAGCTTATCATTGAAGATATTTCCTGCTGAAACTGAAAGTCCGAGCCCAGGTCCTTCGGATGCAACATGTTGATGCGTCAGCATGACTTCCAGATCAGGCGAACAAGAGCTCCTGGTGTGACAGCATGCTGCATGATTGCTTCGTGAGTTGACGGCACAGACAGCTCCTCTGCATGATGCAAACGGGTTTCCGGCTGACAGCTGGCAGGTAGCTTAGGTAGCTCGGCTCAAGCTGTCTAGGGTGTCACAACGCAAGCTTGTAGCGAGTGAACGCAGACCCTGCTTAAAGCTATCACAATTGGCGGCAATTCACATGCCAGTGGACGGCTGAAGCTCTCTGTTGCTCCGCAATCAGCATCGATCATCGATCCCAAGCTCCCAAACAGGCGACGAAAGGCGCCATAGGTGCCACTGAGGGAGCTACCTTGGATGAGGTGAGGAGAAGGAACCGTGAGCTATTGCCAAGGTCGTGATTGGGTGAAAGTACCTGACTAGGTACCAAGCAGTGGGAGCCAGTAGGGAGAGAAATGAATGCGATCGATTGTCATCGATCAAAAGCCGTGCTGGCCGGGATTCGTGGGTGGTGTGAGGGAGGTGACGGTTGATTGGAAGGTGGTTGTTCGTTCCTGGTTGTAGGGACGTGGCAAGCCCGGACAAGAGCAGCAGCAGTGTCTGACAGCGAGAGGGAGCTTCCTTTCAGGCGAGGCAGGCCGAAGCAGCTACCTATTAGGCGTCAGACGCGATTTCTTAATGCCAAAGGTTAACGGGCTTTGGCGCTTGGAGCAGGTGCAGCTTGCTGAGCTTAGAGAGGGCTGAGAAGGCAAGAGGGGAACGTCCGGAGAAGGAGGGAAGCTGCCACTGCCAATTAAAGAGCCCATACCAACCAGGGCAAGCTCTTTTCACCGAGCCACCTACTCTCACCCCTCAGTCCAAGCTTAACAGCTCTTTTTTCTTTCTTCGATCCATCCCACCAACACTCAACAATCCAAAATACCCTCTGCTGGCCATACCGACTCCCACTCCTCTCCTCCCATCTCCTACCTCGTCGCACACCGTGTCGAAAGGCCAGCAGTTGACTCTGTTGCGTTGTGCACACCCACGACCCTGTTCTTTCCGAACAGCAAATCATGTGAAGGAGGACCCATCATTACGTCGGTCCCTTTCAAGCTCAAAAACAGCCAAGGCTTGTTGTGGGCTGTCCGATCAATGCCGCCGACCTTCGTCCTTCTCTCCTAAAACTCGCTCCTGCGGTTAGGTTAGGGTCAGCGCTGAAAGGCCATGCCGCCCAAACCTGCCCTTACCAGCTCTTTTCTCGTGTCGACGGATGCAGAAAATGAGGTTGTGTGTCCGCTCACAAACCAAGATGGCTCGCAGTGCAGAAAGAGATGCATTGGGGTGCGCTTGTCCTAACCCCATTCTGCGCGTCGCCAACCGCTGACCCCGACATTTGTAGGAAAAACGCTACCGGTCGATGCAAGAGCACATTCGACGCGCCCACCCCGATCATTATATCCCCAAATTGCCTGCTACAGAGGAGAGTTTCCAGTTAATGATCAGTACTCCTCCCTCGCAACGCCCACATGTCCAACAGACTGCCGCCCTTCCTGCCCAAAGAGGCCCTTGTATGTTGGCTCAATAGTTTCCTTCCCTATTCATACTGAGAAAAAGAAACAGCGGGTACTAGTGAAAATGTCGCCTCGTTAGGACAAACCGGATCAGGGACTTTGACTGCGCAACCTCCTGCCGCAGCCAATGCTGCTGTTGCCCTTACCCAACTCCACCAGTGGGACTCCGATTTTGTAAGTATTAACGGGAACGAGACTACAGGCTACAGTCAGAATTGTGCTCATTCGCACACCAGGATGTTTTCCCAGAGTCAGACTACAAACGCGAGACCTCAGGTCTTGAGCTGCCATCATTACGCGCACAGTTCCACGAAGATACATTTCAGCCTGCTCGCCCGCGAGAACTATTACCCTCTCTTCTGCAGTCACCGGGCAGCCGGTACTCATCCTTACCACCCATCCAACGACGCGGCGAGAAACTGCCACGACCCCGAAAGCCGTCGATGGGGCAAAATGCGCGCAAGGGCAAGCACGAACGCGGAAAATCTAGGGAATTTTCGGCCAAGGATTTCTCCCGAAGGCTGAGCGTCGAAGGCCGAAAAGCAATGTCTGCAGAACCGCCCACCGCGGCTTGGGTTCAAGGCAAGAGATGGGAAGATCTGATCGAGGCTGCCACGAGTGCTACTGAGGCTGATGATGATCGTGATCTCACTCCCGTAAGTCAGACGACATTTTTCGATTGTCCTCTGTTTACATGTTGCTGCCAAGAGATCGAGATACTGTAGAGGAGCCCCCCGGAGGAAGGCCCCCCAGAAAGGGAATATTGTCTTGTACTATTTTACTGTCACTACTATTGCCAAAAACAACAAAAACGAATCGAACGACGGTCATGTCTTGCTATACCCGCACGAAAGGCACAAAAAGGACATATGCGAGCAACAGAATGACGGCTCCCGGGCAAGAGGAACCTCCCAGCGTTGTGTCAGTCGATTGTTTTTGAACTGTTGGCGGTTCCGACAAAATCACGATTGATGGTTTTGAGGACCACGACTTCAATTACCGACCGATTCAATGGAAGGAGATGACGAAATGCCCAGGGGTACGGACTCTCTGGGGCGAGCGGAAGAATAAAAAACACAGCCATTGGTTTTTTATTTTTCTCGGTCAGGCCACATGCGGGTGATGAAACCATTTTTCCTGTGGCGGTCGGGCCAGGCGACTGAGAAGAGCCAGAGCCAGGGGGGTTCTGTCACTGAAAAGTTTATGCACCCTCAGTTAATTACTCTAATGTGTACACCAACCTCCTCATTTTTCTTTTTTCTTTTTTGCGTTAGACTATCGATAATCAACCTTGCTAACATGCCCTTGGCATTGACTTACAGATGCCGCAGTCGCCAAACTTTCCGCCCTCTACCACTGTTGCCGCCACCGCTGCTGGCACGGGCACCACCACCACCACGACCGCTCGTAGATTGTCCGCCGCGGACAGCATGTCGACCAGTGGGGAGGCCAACAAGCGTTCATCGCTACCCCCGGGCTTCCGTCCCTTTGGTCATCACCTACACCACCAACCTGGGCAATACAATGCCTCTCCGCTGCAACGTACCCTGACTCCACCGCCACCAGATATCCTGGGACCCAATGATCCCGAGCCCTTCCCTTCGGTCGAGTCCCTAGAGAGCGCGGGATCCGGTCAGAATTTCCACATCTCAGGGTCCGGCCTGCCTACGTCGGCGTCGTCCAACGATAACACTAGCCCCTTACAGCACCATTCACACCCTTACCAGCACTCCCAATCGTCCTCATTTGGCAGCAAATCGGATGTATTGGAGATCTACTGCGCATCCTGTAGTCGGCCGTGGCTACTGAAAAATGCCTTCGCCTGCACCGAGTGTATCTGTGGCGTCTGCAGCGACTGCGTTGGACAGATCATCAGCAGTCCTGTGGTGACGGTCCAACCAGGTCTCGCACCGATGCGCCGCGGCTGCCCCCGCTGCGGAGTCATGGGCGGGCGCTGGAAAAGGTTCAACATTGACATTCGCTGATGATAACATTTCAGAGTAAGAAGTCTGAAACTAGAATTTCTAGGGCGTTCGCATTGTGGGAAGAGGGGGGAGGGAGCGGGAGGGGATCGTCTAGCATTGAAACCCCCCTGCTCCCCATACCCATCGAGCCATCTCCCGAGCGAGAAGCCAGGGAAAAGACGCGCCCAGAAACAACCCCCTCAAGCGAGCATGACTGAGACATAGGTATTGATCCTGTCAGCCGTGAAATTACCGCAGACTCCGCCCAGCGCCGAGCCAACCGGACGCGACAGGGAAAAAGGAGAAATTACTCCCTCACGGAGCAGGCCGGCGAAGAGACGAAATAGACTCGAAACGAGTAGTCGCAGTAGAAGGTCCTCCGCAAAGGGAGGACAGCAGCAAGGGCAGAAAGAATAAGCGACGAGTTCCTAGTCCAGCACACGAACTCCCCCGCCAGTTGATGGGTAGACACCGCTGAGAGGGAGATGCACAGTGCCACAAGCAGGGATGCTGGAGAGGTCCAGGAAGGGCTTTCGTGGCATCCAATCGCTTCCACACGCATTTTGTTGCGCAATGCAAAAAACGTGCGGGATGCCGAGGGGATCCAGCGGCTCAGATTGGACAGGAGGGAGGCGAGGAAGGTCGATAGCCAAGTTAGCCAACAAGACGTGCTTGAAACTCCCGTACTCGTGTTGCTTGCCCGAGGCTCCTAGGACATCGACCGCACGCACTGGGCGGGGATGGGCCCTGGCGTCGGCGCGGCACCCGAATGCACAGGATTGAAAAACTTGAAAATGGCCCTCCACTTGGACGCCACAAACATGACCATCTTGCGCCAACACCGACTCCTGACCTCATCAAAGTTCAAGTCATGACGATCAACACTCTGCTGCGGAGAGCTGTCCATGGTTCCGACGAGTGACAATTGCGATCTCAGCATAACATTTTGCTTTCGAAAGGAAAGAAGCGAGCACTAACTTCTGGAGGGGAGGATTTCAAGCCCGCGGGCAGGGCCTGCAGGACGTCGGGGCCTTGGCTGCAACCTGTGTGGCTAGTTACGTTTTGTGTATTCAGCAGCTGACAGAGATAGCAGGCTGGGGACTCAAAAGGCAAAAGGAAAGACCATGCAGAAGACCATCTTCCTGCAGGAGCATCGCATCCCACCCACATACAAGAGCCCGACCTGGATGGGAAAGTGGCTGAAAAGGAGGGTGTGGGTGCCGGGGCCATTGGACCACGGTGGATTTCCTCCTCTACCTACTGGTACCCGGTATTTACCTGGACTCTACTTGTAGAGTCTGGATAGGTAAGAGCACCCAGCTCCAATGTCCGCCCCTCTCCCCTTGCGGTCGGCGATTTTCCATTGGACCTCATTCTTGCATGGGGGCGCGACCGGGTCTCCTTCCTTTTTCCACGCATGCGCTCTGAGGTAATAATTCGCTCATAGCAGGGCTCGGAAAGCAGAGCGAGGGGTGGCCGACCCAAGACACGTACTTCGCACACATGACTCTCGCTCTTTTCTTGGTCTTGGGTAGTACCGGGATGAGCAATGAAGCAAGAGGAGCCTGCAGACTTCTCCACAGGTGTCTGCTTGTTTCGTTTGTTCTGTTTGTTTGGTTTGCCCCTTTTTCGGTTCAGCCTAGGCACTGGTTGTCTATTACAATGTGTGGCTCCAACACCAAGGGCCCTCAGCCTGATGTTATATGCCATAGTGCATGATATTCCCTCTCCCCTTCCCTACAAGATACAGGCGTTCCTACATAAATCAATGACTAGGAAAGTCCACTGATAATTTTAGATATTGTGGGAGCACACACCGAACCACACAATCATTCAAACTAGTGGAGATCGACATGGCATGCATGATTTGGCGGACTGAGATCATCCTCTTCCTTGTGCCCCTCAGCTTTTTCTCTTCGATGTGCTTCGTCAACTAGATTTGATCATATGCTGTGCCTTCCGGCCCCTCATGGTTCCATCGCACATCATCGTTGAGAGTTTCTGACGATAGCCAAGAAAACACGGTCGGTCACACGTCAGAGGGCAGTGGCCTTTTTCCCATGTCTTGCTCATCGTGCACTTCTTTTAGATGCTGCTTCCAACTTGGACCTCGTCCATTCACTTTGTACTCGTGTCGCTCGCGTTTGTCGACCGGGGGGGGGGCCACTTTTTGTAATCAGCACCGCGACTGTTATAACTGTGCTGTCACTTCAGATTGCCTTGGCCTTCGAGTCGTGAATCCAGCCTAGCTTCGACGTGCCTTTCAGACAAGCAGATATCACCCTTGATTGTCACAGATTCCCAACTTCTTTTCAGGCAGTTTTCCAATCACCATGAACTTGTTGGAGGGAATGCCCTGAATCTTTCGTCTCGAGGTATATAGATAGGACCGCGAATTCAGGACGATATTGCGGCAACCCACGTTTGTCGCAACAGCATCCGCGCGACGAAGTCCGCCGTCCAATGTCTGCGTTGTATGTAACGGCTGTGACGCGATGGCGTGCACGTCGGTCAAAAGTGCATCCGTTCCTTGAGGCGGTGGAGCGAGATTGCGTGGGTCGGCATCGGACAGATACTCCTCCAAGCTCTCCCCAGATTCTGCCCATTGTTCGGGTTTTATCGGCTCTTCGGATAGCAACCTCACAACCCATCGCCAAGCTGGCAGCAGCACGAGGCAGGCACAAGGCTCGCTGCCTCGAGGCTCCCGCATAAGATAAACCACGCTAATCCCCAATTCGGCACAAGCGCGAAATCGGATCAACCAAAAGCATCAGTTGCCGCACTTGGGTCGCGACTCACCCTCATCCTCTTTCATCTTCCGGAGCGACGGCATCATCTCTTTCTTCCCCCATCTCGTTGGACCCAAAGATGGCAGGAGCAGCTGGTGGTCGCGATCAACCCTCTAATGATCCGACGAGCAGTTTCGCCGGCTCTGCTCCCTCGCACTTCCCTTCGCCCTACTACCCGATCGACACCGAGCTGACCAGCATCTCGCCCAACTACTCCATGCCTCCCTATGCGCGACCGATGGAAGAGGGGGTAACTTCTGTAGACAAGATAAACCATGGAGCCATGAACAACTTACCCATGGGCCCAAATGGCGCAGCAGCCTCTTCTGCTCCTGATCCAGCAATGGCTCCTCCGCAGACGCCAAATCAGCCTACCTTTGCCTCAGCTGGGACACGTGCAAGTGTTGATACATCTTCAGAGACACCCCAAGAAGCTCAGACTGGTGACAAAAGAAAGCGCTCAAAGGCCTCTCGTGCATGCGACGAGTGTCGCAGGAAGAAGGTGCCGTCACAAACCTCGCGGCAAAGAGCCAAATAATATTTCTTTGATGCTAACCTACCTTCAGGTCAAATGCGATGCCCCCACTGAGTTGGACGGCACTCCAAAGACATGCACGAATTGCCAGAAGGCCGGCGTTAACTGTGAATTTGAGCGCAAGCCCATGAAGCGTGGTCCAAGCAAAGGGTCAGTTGTTTCCTCGATGGAGCTTGTCTGATGATGTCGTCGCCGAACGAAGACTAACACGTGACACAGATATATCAGCGCGCTGGCAGAGCGAGTTCATGGGTTAGAACAAAAGCAGAGGCAGTCACTCGACGCGGGTCCCGTAGGGTTCGCCGAGACTTTTTCGCCAGACGAGCCAAGTGGTCCTGGTTTTAACCGCGCCTCTTCTTTCTCCGCTCCCACGACCGTCAACCCATTTTCCAGAGCCGAATTTCAGCGAGATCGCATTCCAAGCACTGGCGGCTGGGGCATCAGTTCGATCGCTTCCAGTCTTCGACCGCGTGCCAGCGGAAGCCTCGCAATCGCTCCGAACGAAACTCTTTCCCCTGCGGCTTTGCTTGCTGAAGAAGAGGTCAACTCGAGGATTCAATACCGCGACCCTACCAAGACTTTCTGGAGTCAAATCCGCGTTTCTCGTCCTGCAAAACGTCCGCGCATCCAGGGTCCCAACGAAGACATGGAGCCATTCAAGTTGGACGAAGCGTCTCTTGCCAAGTACTACGAGCAGTATCATCCACTCTTTCCTTTGCTCCCCGAACGCATGATCGTCGATGAAGTTGTCGCCAACGCCAACTTCGAGATGCAACAAGCCTTCACTGTGGCTGTCGACTTGTTGCCAGACCTCAGAGCCGGAGTCACTCTCAACGGCACTCACGATTCTTCCTCCTTGAACAACGACGTTGACCCAGCCATTAGCCGCCCAACCTCGACTCTCAAATCAACCCTCTTTGAAAACTACGACAAGTTGGCAGCCTATCTCTTTGACCAGGTTTGCAAGGCGGCGGATCATTTGGTGGACCATAATCTGACACTGCTCTGGACTCTTGTCCTGGTGATGTTGACCTGCGAGTATGATGTCAAGAGAATCGAAGACGGTGGAGCCTCGTCTCGGGGGCGTCAGTTTAACGTTAACCTCTGTCGATTTGTCCTGAACCAGGTGCAACGCGATATTGCCCATGGTTCGACTACCGTCATCTCTGACCTGGCTGGCTTCACCAAAGTTCTCAACATGGCCATGAACTGTGTCCGTTTCATGTTCAAGTACCACGCCTTGGGCGAGGGTACCCATCCATCCGCCATGCCGTCGGCAAAAGACCTCCGTGTTCAAGACTTCAGTGTCAAGGCGCTTCCTATTGAGGCAGCCTACATCGCAATCAGCTCGAATCAGCTTGAACTTCTCGCTGACATCCTCGTGCCCCGTAAGCCGAACAGTGCAGGAGCGCGGATGGCCCTAAAAGCCCTTTCGGAGAGCGCCTTCGACTTGAACGTGGGGCAACTCAACGGAAGCCCCGAAGATTCTGTGATTTACAAGCAATTGAACTGGTTCAGGGAGCTCCTCATGAGTCCGTATCAAGATCACGAACCCGCCCTCCCGTCGCCTATCCTCGACTGTGTCGATAAATTGACCATAGTCCTCATCGAAGAGGCGAATGCGACCGCGAACGCGCCACGATACAATCCACTTGACCTCCACACCTGGTCTGTGGCGACGATCACCCTCTGCGAGT